GAGGTAATGGTTAGAGGGGGTGGGGAAAGAGATTTATAAAGTGCTATATGATCCCATTAAGACGAGAAAACTTGTATTATCATGCTCAGCATTATTTTATGACTATTAGGAACTCTAAGGTGAAAGTCACATTCTTCCCTGGTTGTGGGCCCTTCCACTCATCAACTTATACCTCATGTAATTCTTTCAGATTTGGTCACAGCTTCCATGTAGGTAGTAAGCAATGTGTTTATGCAGTGCTAATACTAAGATAGATTATACTGATAGCTGCCGTCTCCCAAACATACTCCTCTTGGTCAATACGACTTTTAAGATTTCTTTAATGTTATTAAGTTTCACAAGGGTCCAACAGAGTTTCCAGCACATCAAAGATGCACAGTCACTAAATATTATGGAGTGATTGAATCATATATGATATATAGGGATATATAGCTGTTTATTTGCTGAGAAATCCTTGGGTCTCTTTTCAAAATTCTTTTCATGTTGACTGTCTTTTACCATATGATGCACCAGGTAATGCACAAAGAACACTGAAATCATTTATTCAACAAACAAGGAGTGCCTGGGTGGCTCAGTCAGTTAAGTGTCTGACTCTTGATTTCGGCTCAGGTCATGATCTCAGGGTCATGGGATTGAGCCTTGTGTCAGGCTCCGCACTCGATGAGGAGTCTGCTTGGGATTTTCTTACTCTCTCCTCTCTTCCTCACCTCTAAAATAAATAAATCTTTTTAAAAAAAGGAATAACCAAATAAACTGTTTGTGAACACCTTCAGTGATGAGGAACTTACTACCACCCAAGACAACCCCCTCTGTTTCTAAACACCTATTAATTACAATTAGATACCCCTGAATCCTCAGAGGGTCTGCAGAACAGATCTGGGGTCCTCCACATGACAACTTTTCATACATTGAAGGCTGTCATGATATCTCCCCATCTTTGTTCTCTAGGCCAGAAGTCTCCAATTGTTTCAGTAATCCTTCAAATGATAGTTTTAATTGATCCCAGCTGCTCTCTTCCAAACATGCTCCAGTTACTCAATGTGCCTTTTAAAATGTGATCAAAATGGAACAAAATGTTCTGGGTGTGGTGTGATCAGGGCAGAGTGCAGGCAGAAGCAGTCTCTTTTATCCTGTCCATCACAATGCTATTAATGGATACCACATTAACTCTTTACAGTCACATTAAACTGTTGACTCCTATTAAGATTGTAAACAATTCCAAGATAGAGAGCTCAGAAATAAAACCATATTTATAAGGTCAATTAATCTACAAGAAAGAAGGCAAGAATATGCGATTCTTGTATGTACAAGAATATACAAGCCTTTTTAATGAATGGTGTTGGTAAAACTGGACAGCTACATGTAAAAGAATGAAATCGGATCCCTTTCTCACACCATATACAAAAATAAACTCAAAATGGATCAAAATGGATCAAACTCAAAATGGATCAAATAGAAGATCTGAAACCATAAAAGTCCTAGTGAGAACACAGGCAATAATTTCTCTAACATCAGCCATAGCAACATTTTTCTAGATATGTCTCCTGAGGCAAGGGAAATAAAAGCAAAAACAAACTATTGGGACTACATCAAAATAAAAGGTTTTTCTGCCTAGCAAAAGAAAAAAAATCAACGAAACAAAAGGCAAATGAATAAATGAAAGTCTGCACAAAGTACAAAAGTAGCTCAAAGGATGGAAAATTATTATCCACGGTGAGTTGGAGAGGGAGGAAAAAATAGCAAAGGAAAGCTCCCAATAAGAGATGGCATATCTAGGGGATGGAAAAAAGAGTTTAAAGGAAGAACATGAGCTAGAGCCTGGAGTCATGAAGCCGTGCGTATTTAGAAAACTGGCCAGTTCATTACTGTCAGAATGTAAACTATTTTGCAATGAGAGATTACAAGGCTAGATGATAGGCAGACACTAAATTATAAAGAGTTCTGAGGAGCCAGATTTTATCCTGTGATAGGATAGGGAATCAGTGTTTTAAGTGACATTGAGAGAGATGATTAGGATTGCATTTTACAAGGACTGCAGTGACAATATGGCAGATGGATTGGAATGTGCAGAAATGGTGGCAGAGAGACCAGTTAAGATGCGATTACCACAGTCTATGTGAGAGAAGATAAAAGATGAAGGCCTAAACCAAGGCAGTGAAAATCATAACTGACAACAGAGAGCAAGTTCCAGACATAGTGACTGGATGAGATCCTGGGGAGGGATTAGTGGCAGGGAAGCAGGTGTGTCTACGTTTGTCACCAGACTTCAGGTTGGATAACTGGTTGGACAGTGATGTCATCATCTAAGAAGGGAAGACAGGAAGGAAAACAGGTCTGGCAAAGTATTTGACTCCAGACTGGTTTTTTGAGATGCTTATAATATATCTAGATGAAAATATCCCACAGCGTGTGCATATTCTAATTCTGAGGCTTAGTTGAAACGTCTTGCTGGAGTTGAGTGGTTGTTGAAATTGTTGGAATAAACCAGGAAGCGGATATGGAGCTGTGCTATGTAATATGATGGGATCTAGCCACATGGGGCTATTTAATTTTTTTCTAACAGGTTCGTTAAAATATAGTTTATATACCATATAATTCACCAATTTAAAGTACGCAATTCAATGATTTTTGAGTATATTCAGAATTGTCCAATCATTAAGACAATTTTAAACCATCACTCCAAAAAGAAACCCTGTACCTTTTGCTTTAGATATGACTGACGTCTTTTCATCCAGTTTTCAGTACAGACATCACCTCCCAGAAAGGATAGCCGCTTTATGCAAAGGAGATCCTTGGGTCACCGGGATGGCTCAGCCCCTTAAGTGTCTGCCTTCAGCTCAGGTCATGATCCCACCATCCTGGGATCAAGCCCCCAGATTAGGCTCTGGGAGCCTGCTTCTCCCTCTTCCTCTGCCCCTCCCCCACTCCCTATGTTCACCGCCCCCCACCCCACTAGTCCTCTCTGCCTCTCTCTCTCAAATAAAAACTTTAAAAAATAAATTAAAAATAAAGGAGATCCTCCTCCAGCCACTCCCATCCTGCCCCTGTTGCTTTCTAGCTACTCTTCCTAATTGATTTCCTCTGCAGCTTTACCACAAGCTAAATGATATCATTTACTTGTTCCTTATCTCATTTGCTTCACAAGCATATGAGCTCAACAGAACAGACTCACACCAGTGTTATATGCACCAGTAAATGTTGAGTACCTAGAGCAGTGACCAACATATAGCACGTGTTCAAAACATTATTTGTTGAATGAATTAATGGAAGCCACAGTGAGAGAAAGCATGGTATTTGGGGGGGGGACTTTAAATGGTTGAGCATGGATATAAGTTAGTGATCAGAGTTGACGCGGGAGAAGGAAGAAGCTATGACATCAGAGGTTCACATGCTGTGACAAGAAACTTGTATATTATCCTGAAGGCAAAAAGAAGCCCTAAAAGATTTTAAGAGAGTGGCACTACCAGATTTGATTTTGGGAAAAATCACCCCTGAGGATATGATAAGTAGAACAGAGGGAAAGTACAGGGCGGGCAGGCAGATTAGTCAGGAAGGCATGACAGTGATCTGTGGAAGAAATAAAGGAGCATGAGGGTGTGAATTAATGAATAGGCAATGTGAATGAAGAGAGAATGTGGACGTGCCAATATGTCTCTCGGATAATTCACTTTTAAATAGGAACATGTAGAAAATGCCTTCAAAGTTTTTCTCACATTGCACTTGGGTTGTTTTTTTTTTTTTTTTTAATTAAGTTTAGTCTCTTCTTTATAGATAAGGAATTGTGTTCTTAGAGGGAAGAAAATGGATTTCAGAAGTGATTTCCAAATTTGGCCAGTTATTAGGATCACCTTAAGGATTTGTAAAATAATTTAAGGACGGATGGGAAAGAATGAAGAGCTTTGTAGACATAATAATTCACAGACACCTGCGAGACATCAAAGCAGGCTCTTGGGCATAACCTAGAACTTGAGAAGTTTTTTGCTTTGTTTAAGTAAGCTCTACGCCCAAGGTGCAGAGGGGATTGAACTCACAACTCCTAGGTGAAGGGTCACATGCTTTATTGACTGGGCCAGCCAGGCGCGCCATGAGCTCTAAACAAGATAAAGATTCTGGAATTAAGGACAAACAACCCAAATGAAGCCATACGTGTGGATTAGATCATCTTTTGAGAAAGTAGAGGGAACCTAGAGAATCCTGGTGAATGTTGACATTTAAGGGAAGGGAAACAAAGAGAAACCAAGAAAGGAGACCAAGTAGGAGTGGCTAGAAGAGGGAATAAGAAAGTCACTGAGGGGGCACCTGGGTGGCTCAGTTGGTTAAGCGACTGCCTTCGGCTCAGGTCATGATCCTGGAATTCCGGGATCAAGTCCCGCATCGGGCTCCCAGCTCCACAGGGAGTCTGCTTCTCCCTCTGACCTTCTCCTCGCTCATGCTCTCTCTCACTGTGTCTCTCTCTCTCTCTCAAATAAATAAATAAAATGTAAAAAAAAAAAAAAAAAAAAGAAAGTCACTGAGAAGAGAGTCACAAGAGACTGGAGTCATCGAAGGTGTCAAAGCCACAAAGACCTCTTCAGGCTAGGTTACGGATGTTCTGAGGATATTATCTAAACTTCAGTGATTATCAAACTCCCTGGAGTAGACTTCTTAAAATATACAGAATCAAAACTGCTGGGATGAGCCTATGAGTCTGTATTTCTGAAAAGCCTCCTGGGTGATTCTGATGTATAGTCGGGTCTAAGAACCATTAATTTAGACGACTCACCTAATCCAGTAACAGAGACATTTATTTAAAAGCACTGGAAAGAGACCCAAAAATGTCAGAATAATTTTGATAGCTTATGTTATAATCTCCCCTTGTAAAGAACTAAGGTAATTACCCAAGTTGCCAGAGCTAGGCATTACAATGGCACCATAAGAATTAAGTAATGTCCACGGTAGAGACTATGTCATTTTCAAATACTACTTAAAAATTTTAAAAGGTGGTAAAGAACATAAAAAACTAGAATTAAATAATTTATTACAAAGAAGTTTTTCCATAAATCTGTTTCATCAACATACATGACATTTCAGTATATTCTTAACTGGAGTAAGGAAAACTTAAAATTATTGTGAAAAACAAGAATGAGATTCAGGTAACAACTTGTGATTCTGTGCCCTAAAGAAACTGTTCACAATAACAGGGATGTTGATTAAACAATCGACCAGAATAGCGAGTTGAAACTAACCCTTCCTTTCACAAGGAGGAAAAGAACCGTAACACACTTACTTTATAAATCCTTCTGATCTCACAATTGGCCTGGGTCAATAATTAATCAAGAAATTCTTTCCTTTTTTACTGCTAAGTAACTAAATATAAATCACTGATCAACAATGAATTAAGTGAAAGGGGAACTCTAGTAATTTCATCCAATTCGTTTTAAAGTATATTATTCTGAGAATCAAGTGTCCTTCTCCTAGTTAAGTAAATGAGGTTTTCCTTTAAGGAACAAGTACGTTTTTCACAGACTCTGGAACCCGACTTGCATAGTAGTCGTAATTGCGCAGCGTGGCGAGGACGCCTGCGGAGTTCATGTGTTTCACCTCCTTGTTATACTGAAGGGCATTTCCATGGATATCGGTTAACTTGCCTACAGAAGAAACATCAATACAACATCAGTGGCTGGCCGGATCGTTACATTTCTAGTTATTTTTAAGTGCCTCTTACTTCCCTATGGGATAGTATCAATTTATTCTGGATAAGATAGGAAAAATAATGAGTGACTATAAAGGCTTAAGTTTTAATTCACTTAAATTTAAAACTATAGAACAATTTTGACTAACTGAAAGACAAAAAATTATTTTTCTCCCTGGTTAAAATTAATTTCATTTAGCATTTTTAACTCCTATTTCTCGGTATCAGTTAATTTCTCTTTTCCTGAGATGATTACTTTTTCTGCTGGTTCTACCCTATTGCTACTATTCCCATTTTCAAAAGTGTTTTCTTCATTCTACCACCAAGTATTAACAATTTATTAAGGTTTAAATGAAGTATGCTCATTAAATTTAATTGTGTCACATTATAGTTTCATTTAGCATCCTAATGAGATGGAATTGTGATGAATTTAACTCCCTTGTCATGTAATATGCTGATGAGATATGAAATTGGATAATATATTAGGAGAAAGGATAGAACAAAAATCAAATGTTTCGCTTAAGAGTAGAAGTCAAGTTATGTCTAATGGAAATAGAAAATCCTCTTACTATGCATATATTTGTAATATATTGTCAGATTTAAAAAAAATTCTAACTCTGTGATCTTAAGCACTAGTACTGAAACATTTACCAGTATTGGCTTAAATGAAACTAAGTGAGGTGAAGACAATGGTGATGACCATTTTACTTTTCAAGAAAAGAGAAACCCTAGAAGCATTAAATCCACAAATCAATAAGGGTTTAATTAAGTCATCTATATGTAGATTGAAGTCCAAAAGATAAACAATAACTAAAGAAAATGAATTTGCTGAAAAATTGACATCCTCACTTCTGAAATGCAGGGGTTGGGCTGGCTAATCTCTAGGATTCCTCTGAGCTTTTCTGGCCTCAGAATGTAGGTAAATATACTGAAAGATTCTGTCGTAGCGTAATAAAAAAGCTGTAACACCTGTAATTCCCCAAAATAAAAGGGACTGACCTCCCACAGCATGTAAAATGACTTCTGGAGCACAAGTATCCCACTTCTTACATCCAGGACTCGCAAATACATACGCAGAGGCTTTGCCTTCAATCAGCTGAATGATCTGTAGGGTTGGAGATAATAATTATCCCCTGGCCATGAAATGATTAAAGAATAAGAGAAAATGCTTGTTTCTACCAAGTGTATTTCATCCATGCCTCTGTCAGACTCAACTTAGGTGAAAGCTATTAGCAGGTTGAAAGGAACATGAGTATTATGGAGAAATATACAGAATACAATAAAATATAGAATCATACAGTGACCTGGGGTGGGGAGGAAGTGGTTAAATAAGCTACAAGGAAGAGATCAGAACAGTCTTCATAGTCCTACTTAGATAAATAAAGTTTGCTTTTTATTGTGTTGGTTTTTTTCCTGCTGTAGAAACAATGTACTGTATATTATAGAAAAATTGAAGATTTTTAATCCTGTAGATTAAAGGCTAGAGGAACATCAACATTTTACAAGATAAAATGCAGTAAGTCCTAATACAAATGCAATGCTGACAAAGAAACTAACAAGTAGTTTCTTAAGTCTTTGGAGTCCTACTACATATTACCGTTTCTTCTACCAAATTATGAATTTTTAAATTGTCATCTTAATAACTCCTATAATTCTCGGGACGCCTGGGTGGCTCAGTTGTTTAAGCAGCTGCCTTCGGCTCAGGTCATGATCCCAGCGTCCTGGGATCGAGTCTCACATCGGGCTCCTTGTTCCGTGGGGAGCCTGCTTCTCCCTCTGCCTGCCACTCTGTCTGCCTGTGCTCGCTCGCTCGCTCTCTCTTTCTGACAAATAAATAAATAAAATCTTTAAAAAAAAAAAAAAAATAACTCCTATAATTCTCTAACAAAACTGAGGGTATTTGATAGAATCGACATGACTCTAAAGAGTAACCTGCTATCAGGCTTTCATGAATCATTTACTTATTTTTGGGTTATACCATAAAATAATCAGTACTGTAAAATTCAGGCCTCAAATATTCAGAGGAAGAGAGCAGACTGAGAGGAGGAGGAAAATCTCAATGAATGCAATGTAACCAATTACTCTTCTTAGGACTCTTCAAGAACACCATCAAACGATTAAACCTTGCTGTAGACCTCTATGTAAAACGCTTTTCTTTCATTCAACAAATATGTGTCAAGTCTTATTATGTGCCAGGAACTATTTTGGGTCTGTTTTCTTAAGGGAAGAAGGGCTGTAGCCTTCATTAGACTCTTAAAGAAGTCCTTGACATGAAAAAGTTAAACTGCCCAACAAGTTAGTAACATGCCCAAAAAAGTTAATAATTGCCCCAACTTTTATAGGAGAAAAGGTGGGGGATGTACAGGGTGGGGACTTTGTTCCTAAAGAGAATGGTGCCCCTTGGGAATAAAACACATAATGGGATTTTTGCAGTTATAAAAGTAAGGGCAAAGAGGGGCACCTGGGTGGCTCAGTGGGTTAAAGCCTCTGCCTTCGGCTCAGGTCATGATCCCAGGGTCCTGGGATCAAGCCCCACATCGGGCTCTCTGCTCAGCGGGGAGCCTGCTTCCCTCTCTCTCTCTGCCTGCCTCTCTGCCTACTTGTGATCTCTGTCTGTCAAATAAATAAATTAATTAATTAATTTAAAAAAAAAAGTAAGGGCAAAGAGAAATTACACCTGCCACTATATTTAGTGAATACATTTTTACTTGGAAATGTTTTAGAATTTTTTTCCCCAAAATACTATTATTTTTAAACTCCCATTTTCATCCTCTCACCAGTAAATGCTTTTGGAAAATCTAAAAATAGTTGATTATTGCTTCCAAAGGGTAGGTAAAGAAAAATGAATTCCACTCAGTTCAGTAAGTATTTACGATTTGCCTTCCCCGTGCCAGGGACACAAGTGTAAGAAGACTTACATCGGGAACTGAAGCCAGTCTGGTATCCCCAGGGTCTGAGTTGGGGGATGGCATGAGATAAGCCTGGGGTGTGTTCAAGGGCCAAAACATAAGGGAATTAACATTCCATTCTCACAGGCTTGGGTTTTAAACTGTTGTGCAGGGAGTTATCCAAGAATTTGGGGCAAGGAAGTGATATACAGTAAGTTTTGCATTTTTAACTGCTTTATGGTACTGTGAGGCCTAAGACTGAATAGACAGACCAGTTGGAAACTACTGGAAAGTCTGGGTGAGAGATGATGATAAGTTTTAACTAGGGTGGAGGCAGCTGAGATGGACAAAGGAGACGTTAGGGAGGAATTAAGAAGATACAGATGGGATATGAGGAAGGAAGGAGTCTAGGGTGACTTTCAGGGGCCTGGCTGGAGCAATTAGGCAAATGGTGGTACTATTAAGCAGACAGGAAATAGGAGGAATGCGTGTAGGGGCAGGAAGGAAAAAGGAAGAGATCCAATTGAGCATGCTGAATTTGAGATATCTGAAGTATGTCATCATGGTGCTATCCAGGGGGCAATCAGATGAGAAGAGATCAGGGCTAGGGACGCAGACCTAACTGGGTTCTGTTTCACAACTTTCTCGGCAGAATGGAAGCCTACGTGAAAGAATGGGGGAAGCGTCCAGGAACGGGGGGCAGGCCCATCCTTTGGGTCCACAGAAGAAAGGTCTAGGAAGTAACCCAAGAGGGTCCTCAAGAATACGAGGGCTGGCAAGAGGCTCAAGATGTCCTCCTAATGACTTGCATTAGCACAGAACTCTCTTAGATAAAAAGACTCGAACGATAACATTTAAAAAAAATTCAAATGTTGCTGAAATGTGCTTTTAAGGGTCAATTACAACCTCTAACTCCTTCTCCCAGCTCTTATTTCACGTTTCGGGAAATGCTCGGGATTTCTTTCCATAATTCAATTGCATTTCAGCGGAATGGCAGACGTGTTCGTACCTTATTTCCTGCTCCTCCCACGCGCAGCACATCATCAGGGTTCATGGCGGTGACACAGTCAGTCACCAACTTGTTGTTATGAGAGCGGGTCGTTGTAATGATGTGTTTCCCGGCAGGAGCCTCTTTCAGCTGGAACCCAAAGGCACCTAAACCTAAAACTCCCCAGATTGTCCTCCCCAACGTAGCATTGGGTCCTGCCTATGCAAGTGGGTGAAATAACAGCAATGTTTGTAATCATCTGGAGAAAAACGTCAGCCATACAGAGACTATCGCTTTACGTTTGCATCCTGATTTTTATAAAAATAAAAATATGACAACGTAATCTAATAAAGAACCAGAACATCATCATCCACCCTGAGATTTTCCCGAGATAATCAACGGAGCCTTCTCTTGTTGTTTTGGCTAAAAACTGGGTTTGAGAGCTACTGGAGGGAACTTACAGTTACTCCTTCAAGTCCTCAGGAAAGGAAACATCATATACTGATTCCCATGTCTCTCTGAGTCAGCCAGTGATCTCATTATTGTATTTGAAAATAGCTGTTTGCAAAAGGTACTCAAGTCCCCAGGAAATGAAACACGATGTATTGATTACTACTTTTCATTATCCAGGGAACAAGGATCTTGTTACTGTGGGAATAGGTAATGGCAGTTATGTATTTTGCTGCGATAGAGACAGGGCAACTGAACAGGCTGATACTGAGGGGCAGCCACAGACAATGGGGTCAGGGTTAAAAATTGTGCTGACAATTGTGCTGGTAAAAAGGGCAATGACAATGCAATCTCAGCATCTGTATTTCCTTTGCAGAGCTCAAAGAATTTTCAAACACATGGTTATAACTATACACTTCATGCAGAAAAACGTAACCCGATGCATAAAATGATTAACACAGAGTCATCGTAACACCATTATGTTAATACAGTAAACATATATTGTAGACATACAGATATTTTACTGAATACTAAGTAATACTATTTAGTATAGCAGGTGCTATTCTAAATGCCTTACATGTATTATCTTATTTAATCCCCCAAAACTCCATGAAGTAGGGATTATCATCCTTGTTCTTTAGATGAGAAAAATGAGATTTGGAATCCCTGAAGTAACCCGCCCAAGGACTCCAGTAAGATCATAACCAAACTCAGGCTCATCTGTATTCCAAGCCAGTAGTCTTCATCACTAAACTATACTGCCCCATTTTCCTTATTAAAATCCTTCCAAACAGGGGCGCCTGGGTGGATCAGTGGGTTAAGCAACTGCCTACGGCTCAGATTATGATCCTAGAGTCCTGGATCGAGTCCTACATTAAGCTCCCTGCTCAGTGGGAGGTCTGCTTCTCCCACAGCCCCTCCCTGCTGGTCATGCACATGTGCTCTCATTCTCTCTCTCTCTCTCTCTCTCTGTCTCTCTCGCAAAAATAAATAAATAAATAAAATCTTTAAAAAAATAAAATGCTTTCAAACACATCTTAGTCGCCCACTAACAGTACCCTGGCTGCCGTTACAGTGAAATACACCTATGTTGCAGGTTGGATTTCCTGGGAAGCAGATTCTGGGACAGACAGCGTCTTTATCATGGAGTACCCCTGGGATTAACCCCTGTGGATGGGAGGGAAGGAAGCACTAGTGGGCAGAGGGAGACCCAGAGCTGTCATGCAGATCCAACAACAGTCTCAGCCGGCCCTGGGGGGAGCTCTGAAGCTAGAATGGCCCTTCAGGGTTATAAAAATCGGAAGGAGAGGGGCGCCTGGGTGGCTCAGTGGGTTAAAGCCTCTGCCTTCGGCTCAGGTCATGATCCCAGGGTCCTGGGATCGAGCCCCGCATCGGGCTCTCTGCTCAGCAGGGAGCCTGCTTCCCCCTCTCTCTCTGCCTCTCTCTCTGCCTGCCTCTCTGCCTACTTGTGATCGCTGTCTGTCAAATAAACAAATGAATCTTTAAAAAAAAATAAAATCAGAAGGAGATACCAGGCACTTATACTCAGGCAATAACCAGTCACTGGAAATGGACCGCCTTGAGAAAGGGCACCTCACGGGGCCATGCAGCTCTTTACAAGTGAGGTGATCCCTGAAGAGGCAGCCAGCAGGAGGCTGTCTGCTCACAGCTCGCCCTGCAAATGGGGCAACAAAGGAACCAAAGAACAAGCACTGGGAGCTCAGGATATGTTCACGTGCTTCCTGTGCTCGCCATCGAGTCTACACTACAGGAGTCTTAGAACCTGAGAAGTACAGATGGGCTCTGGTGCCCACTGGGCTTTCGCTTAATTGCTGAGATACAAGTCATGCTTTCAAGGAGCCTTTTTATTAATTCAGCTCTCCAGTTATTCTGAAAAAGAAAGGAAAGCATATTGGAGAGTGGACATGGGTATTCTGTTCCCTAAGATGTCATATTCCCTCTGTAAGTGAGTATGGCGGCAAAGAGGATGTGCCCAGGGGATCTGGCACCCTGGGGAGGTAAATGCGACCCCAAGAGGCTGCCAGCCAGCCTTCCGCTGTGCTCCTCGTCTCTGTCTCTCTCCTTCAGAGCCCCACCACAACTTTCTGGCGGGTGGTAAAGGCTAACATTGTCATCTTACTTCATAATGGTTAATTATGATTCACAGTGGTTAAGAAGCTACCTCCAGGGGTGCCTGGGTGGCTCAGTGGGTTAAAGCCTCTGCCTTCAGCTCAGGTCATGATCTCAGGGTCCTGGGATTGAGCCCCGCATCGGGCTCTCTGCTCAGCAGGGAGCCTGCTTCCCCCCCTCTTTCTGCCTGCTTCTCTGACTACTTGTGATCTCTGTCTGTCAAATAAATAAATAAAATCTTAAAAAAAAAAAAAAGAAGCTATCTCCAACATAAAGACAGATTAGGTCTCTTTGCACTAAGCTGTTTCTTTCAAGTGCCTACCAGCTTCAGCATCTGTTAGAATACTAAAGTTTGCATTGTTAGAAGTCTTTATCTCAAGAAAGCACTATAGAGTATTTGCTAAGGGTCTGGACCTGGGTTTGTTTCCTTCTTTCTTCTTCCTTTTTTTTTTTAAAGATTTTATTTATTCATTTATTTAGAGAGAGAGGAAGCGAGCAAGTGCAGGGGAGAGTGGCAGAGGGAGAGAGAGAGAGAGAGAGAATCCCAAATGGACTCCACACTGACTGTGGAGTCTGACTTGGGGCTCGATCTCATGACCCTGAGATCATGACCTGAACTGATAACAAGAGTCAGACACTTAACCCATAGAGCCACCCAGGCACCCCTGGGCCTGGGTTTCAATCTACAGATCTGTCAATGACAACTGGGAGGTCTGGGGGCAAGTTCCTTGACTCAGTTTCCTCTTCTTTAAAACAGGAACAAAGTTTCCTTAAAGGACTGTGGTGTGTATTAAATGAGATAATGCATGTGAATCCCTTCAGTCTGGCAGCACACAGTAAACTCATAATGAATTTTAGCTATTGTTATTATATTGATGGTTACTAAAAATGGAATGTCCAGCCCTGAATACCATCAACAGAACTAAGCAACTTTTCCACTTTCGCAACAAATTTTAAGGCATAAGCAGGAGTGGATGGTGGACGAGAGGAACAAGAGAGTGCAGAGGAACTGTGGTAAAGGGAAAGGCAGCAACAGGAGAAGCAGAATAGGAGGAAGTGAACTGAGACAGGGGATGGACAATGGCCACCTGGGGTACCACAAGTCACCTGCCTCTTTTCTACCTACTAGTGGGGTCAAAACCCTAGCTATTTTTCTCACCTTTGCTTCATTCTTGTGTTCCCTTAACTTCTGCTTTTCATTGTTCTGTGGAAAACGAATACAATGTTTCTAATCTCAGAAAGAAGTGATAGAAAGTATTGATAACCTCTAAGCACTGTGATCTTCTTCTGATGAAACGTGCCATGCATTACAACATTATCTATGAACTATATGCCCCTCTTTTAAGTAATAGCGTTAACTTACTTGAAAGTCTACACAAAAACCACAAGCTTGTGTCTTTCTATAACGCTGTATAAACGTTAAAGTCATATTAAAAGAATTCATGGACACTTAAGCAATTCAATATGGGAGACTTTCCCAATAATCCACTATTTTTGCTAAATAAATTTAAGCAGCACAGGATTATAAATAAAAAAGTTATAATCATACACATGAGAAACAAATTTATCTTAGAAGCAGAGATTAATCCTGCTCTAAACTCAAATTAGAAATTCAGTAGTAATAGTCCCTACTCTGGTTACTTTGCTTCTCCGAAGTTCAATCAAGATCACACTAATGTGAATACCTCAAATATTTTACTGCAACAATTTCCTTTAACATTTAATGCAATTTCATGGTATATTTCTGCTTTGGAATTACATTAGTCTCTGGCTTGTAAGAAAGACAGTTTCTTTGGAGTAGAAAGAGCAGATTAGAGAGATAAAGTAAGACAAATGAGCGCAAGAGCGTATCTAGTTCTGTTACTAATGCTGACTGTAATTTAGGTGCTATGCAGTATTACCTGGCAAACAACATGGCTAGCATCTTTCCTTGGTTGAAATGGTTCATTTCTTCAATTGCTTCAAGAACCACCTGCAAATCAGGTGTCTCAATGACCAAGCTAATCAAGAACCATGTCAGTAATTCCCAAACTTCTACATTTGAATCAAGAGGCATCCATAAAATACATACATATATGAATACATACGGTGTGTCTGCCTACACACAGATACATACATATACATTCCGGAGAGAAATACCTACGCCCTGAGAGGCTCTGATTCAACAGGTCTGGGGTATGATCTGGGAAGCTGTATTTTGTAGACCTTCCCAGTAATTGTACGGGAAACAAAGCTAGAAACCACTGGTTTAGATATCATCAGGAAATCACAGAACACTCTACTTATGTATCTAATAAAGTATTTCTGTATCATTTATAGTAATACCTGGTAGTTGTAATATGGCTGGTTAATAACTCCTGCTATGGCTTTTCCTTCATAAGCAATTCCAATAAGGACGGTCACGTTGTCGAGAAGACCTGTGAAGAAGAAATGAGTATCAAGCTCAATTATATAATTTTCTGACTTATCATCAGCGCATCAATTGCTCCAAGTTATTTTTAGAATAAAGGTAAGAAATCTGTGATGATTCAGCCACGATCAATCCTACTTCTGACAAAATGCACAAATTATAAGAGATAGCTGGCCAGAGACAGAAGCAGGCTTCGACTTCTTTGGCCACTTAACTGAGTCGGTAGACACGGTCTCATTAGTACAGTTTGTATATCAACTGAATAAACCAGCCATGACTCTGCAGCCATTACTGTTAGATTCCTGTCCCCTCTGCCACCACCCATGCCAGTCCTGCCTGTTGGTTCACTCTCTACTCCAGGATTACTGTCTAGACCTGCATTTCAAGTCTCCAGGGTAAGGGTTCTCCAAGTAGAGTCCGCAGATTATCAAGAAGCATAAGAACTAATTGGCATAATTTTTTTTTAAGTAGACTCCACAGCCATAATGGGGCTCAAACTCACAACCCTGAGATCAAGAGTTGCATGCTCTACTGACTGAGCCAGCCAGGGGCCCCTTCATTGGCATAATTTTTAATACTGATTTTCTGGGTCCTTCCCAGAGCCTGTGAATCAATCTCCAGAGGTGGGTGTCAGCATCTAAGCAATCTACCTGGGTGTTCTCACACACATTAAGCTGTCTAGAGCTTCCCTTAGAGTGACATTTCACTGTGCACACATACACATACATACACGTGCACATATACTGTGTGACTGACTCAGACGTATAGGTATGTCTCACCCAAGGACACAGAGAGTTTTTTCTAATGATTATGAGAAATCTTTTTTTTTTTAAGTCATGAAGCTGAGAACCAATATAAGAAAACTTATATAGATCTTGGTTTCAAAAATAAAACTCTAAGCTTATATCTGCTCTGCTCCTAAAACCTAAAACTCTGGCTCTGAGCCTGGTCTTTTTACTTTAACGCTGCCAATTTTATTTTAATGTGCTGCTTTCTAATTTTTCTCATCTCAGACAATTTCAGAAAGGAGAAATATTGTACCGCGTTCCCAAACTCATCTCTAAAGGTGAAGCTATGAGTGGGAAAACAGCTCATAGTTGGGGGGGGCATGAGGGGGCAGGGGGTGTGGTTGGAGGGGAGGTATTTGGTGGCAGGGGAAGGGGTGGCTGGGGAGGGAGGGGCGGGAGGTGACTGCAGAGCACAGCTGTTTGTTTTCTGCCCCAACAGAGCACAGTCCTTCTGGTAACCCTAGCTTTCTGTTAGTTATTCCCACCTGGGGGACATTAGAATCATGGCACTGGTAGAGATCACGGGGTGGTATTTGAAGGGACTGAATTTTCTCTTTCCCTGTCTTGACAATCGCTGATATACAATAATAACAAGGATGAGCAGAAATGCAGCTTTAGGGCATAAACATAAAATATGATACTGGGTTGTTACGCAGCAGATGAAATATTAATTGTTTTTAACTAAATATCATTTACTAGACCCACTGCTATCAAAAACAAATATTGAAGAGATACCAACCTTCAGTATATTCCTTGGTACCATCCAGAGGATCAACCCAGACCACAAGCTGAAAAAAGGGAAATATCTAAATTAAGCATACAACATTTAAAAAATAGGTTTAAGTAGATTAAAAATACCTCTTTCTTCATTTTTAAAGTTATATTTTGAATTGCTTAAGCTAATGTCATCAGTTTTACAATAGTAAAACACCTTATTGTTTCATAATCATGGAAAAAGTCCATTTAAATTAGAGAAAAGTCCCATCTAAGAATATTGAATAGGACATGCTTCACTCATCCATTTACTGTCACCTGAACACTCAACAAAATGCTATGAACACACTGAGGTCTGGGGGGCGGTACAGGGAAAGCTTTAAAGTGGCACCAAAAATGTTTTAAACAGTGTGTGGCTGCTACTCACTCTAACATATAAAGGCTGATTAAAAAAAAAAAAAATTAAGACAGTCTAATTTTAACTTAAGGACACCACATATGTCCAGCAAAGAAAAATGAACAGTTTATAAACTGAGAGTAGAAGTTTAATCCCTTCTCCTTAGAAGGAGGAGGGAGAAGAAGAAGAAATCCCTTCTCCTTAGAACTTCAGGATGATTCAGGCTATGTAGGCATGACCCACCAGAATTACAATGCTTGGCATGAATCTGTGAATGAAGCCCCCTTCTCCCAGAAGACACCACGTCTCACTGTCCTTGTGCCCTCCCTCCCTCAAAGCAAAGCACCTTACTCACAGTAGGTATTCAATGAATGTGCGTTAAATAAATCAAAACTCAACAACTAAAGAATTAGCATAATTATCTGAAGCCAGAGATTTAGTTTAAGCGGCTCTATAAAGGAAGCAAGGTGAGTTTTATGGCCTTCCAAACATAAAACAGCGACCTACTTCACCTCCTTCCAGCCTCAATTACCAACAAAAGTTTTTACTACCAAATCTACTAACAAATTAGATGTTCTCCCTAGAAGTATTTTTAGAAACAGTTTTAGAGAAGAAACTGATGGGGTGAGGAACCAAGCCCTAAACCAACAGGTCACACATTCCCTATGGTCGCCTAACACTTCTTTGCTCTCCCTTAAAGATTTCAAGTTCCTGGGGGCCCCTATTTTATGCCTGCCAGCTTTTCAACCTTACAGGCAAAATTTATTTACTAGAGCACAAACAGAGGGTCAACAAAGACTTAAGAAATCATATGGATCATACATCTTCTTCTTTAATAGCACTGTACTGGGATGGGCACGGCTGCTGCAGTATCTCCTCCCACTGACCATCTTCAATGAGCTCTTGGTCCACTTCTTCAAAAGGCAGATCCTAAAGCAGATAATGAGGATGGTTACTGAAGCTGTTTGGTATTCCCAGAGCACCCATTGTCTTAGTGACAGAAGAAATGCAGCATCAGAGTTCACCAGACCTTCCTGTTTCCCATTTATGTCTAGAGCTTAACTGAGTCAAAAAATAAAGCACACTGAATAAAACTGCAAAAATGACCACATATGGCTGATCAAAGTTGAGTACGAAAAAATCCCATCTTCATTATCCTGAACAGTTAAAAAAAAATCTAAGTGCTAAAAGCTTATTTAAGTAAGTGCCTCTACAATGTCCACTGACAGATGAATGAAGATGTAGTCTATACACACAACGGAATCCTACTCAGCCATCAAAAATAATGAAATCTCACCATTTGCAACGACGTGGACAGAACTAGAGGGTATTATACTAAGCAAAATAAGTCAATCAGAGAAAAACAACTATCATATGCTCTCACTCATATGTGGAATTTAAGAAACAAAACAGGATCGTAGGGGAATGGAGGGAAAAATAAAGTAAGACAAAATCAGAGAGGGAGACAAACCATAAGAGACTCTGAATTGTAGGAAACCAACTGAGGGTTGCTGGAGGGGTATGGGGTAAATGGATGTTGGCACGTGATGAAATGAACACTGATTATTAATAAGACGGATGAAGTCACTGAACTCCACCTCTGAAATTAATAATGTATTACATGTTAATTGAATGTAAATAAAAAAACTAATCAAAAACAAAAAAAAATTAAAAGAGTTCTGACTTCACTCTAGTTTCCATGGGAACACTTAAATGGCTTCAAATGCCTAACCTGCCCTCAACAGGATTCAGTAGTTAATAATTCATCATGAATTAATCATTATAAACCTATTTGTAAGCATAAGATTCCTGCCCTTTATCATCCTAAGCCCTTATAAACACATTCTTAAAAATCAAAATAAATAGGGGCGCCTGGGTAGCTCAGCCGTTAAGTGTCTGCCTTCAGCTCAGGTCATGATCCAATGACGCCCTGTGTCAGGCTCCCTGCCTGGCAGGAGGCTGGCTTCTCCCTCTCCCACTCCGCGTGCTTGTGTTCCCTCTCTCACTGTGTCTCTCTCTGTCAAATAAATAAAATCTTAAAAAAAAAACCAAACTAAATAAATAAGTAAGTAAGTGGTTCTGACATGAGATACTTCTCTCTCCGTTACATAAAATGTGAATTCCTTCACTTTCAGTGTTACAGTCACTGGACAAGTATGCGATTAAAAAAAAAAAAAAAACCAGAAACAACAAAATCCCTTTTATTCCAAAGGTCTAGAACTCTGTCCATCTCTTAGTTTGCATGCTAAATATTACAACAGGAACCCTATCTTCTGCAGTCAAGAATTGAGACATCTGCCTAGAAATGGACTAAAATATTTTATAATCGGATGTTTCCTTCAAGTCCAAGGGAACAGGCTAATTATTTTGGTGTTAAAACACCAGATGTAATGCTTGAAATAATGACAGTGGTACAGAAGTCATTAAAAAGTGGCAATTATAAATCCATATGATAAACAGTCATTAAAAAAAGAGATCATTCCTTACAAGTCTTACCTCTTCCCCTATTATTGTTAGTTTGGGGAATTTCCGTGCCAGCGAAGAGCAAATGCTCATTTGTGCCAATCGGTCAGCTTTGGTCTGCAGGTCTGTTGCACAGGTCTGCAACAAAGAATGTAAATTTTAGCAGAACTAATCTGAAATAAGTTGTCCTCTGATTCCTAGTGCATGAGTGTTTATGTCATTTAAGTTGCACTTGTTTTTAGATTCATGGAACTTAACACCCAATGAGTCAATTAGTTTCCTGGCTTGGTTTTTCTCATGGGATTTATAGTGGTTAAAGTTTGGAAAGGAGCTTTTAGATTATAAGAACACTTTCTCCCCCAGTTGATAAATTCCCTACATTAGATCTCTAGATCAGGGGCACCTGGGTGGCTCAGTGGGTTAAGCCTCTGCCTTTGGCTCAGGTCATGGTTCCAGGGTTCTGGGATCAAGCCCCACATCGGGCTCTCTGCTCAGTGGGGACCCTGGTTCCCCCCTCTCTCTCTGCCTGCCTCTCTGACTACTTGTGATCTCTGTCTGTCAAATAAATAAAATCTTCAAAAAAAAAAAAAAAAGACCTCTAGATCAATCTTCTGCTTAAAAAGATGAAGAGACAGGAGATTCATAACTTTTCATGGCAGTCAAAGCTAAAAACTATCTTTAGCTGTTTGAAAGATATTCCCAACTTGAATCTTTCTATAACTTCTACTCACTAATCTTCTAATCTACTAAGCATCTACTTTCCTAATAATTCAACAGGTCCTCATGATGATAGAAAGAATTCCTGTTTCCAAAATATAAAAACTATGAAAATGAACAGCATTACCTTTGATATATTTAGCTCACACACAGCATTCTTACTCAATCCCTACCGTCAGATAGTCATTCTAGTAGAAGACTGTGGAAAATCTTACAAATGACAACCACAACGTCTTCTATAGTCTGCTTTCACAGAATTATGACATGTTGCAATTTATACATACATATATGCCTGATTGGGTGGAGTTACAAAATTATTACTGTAAATAGTAAATATTTTACAATACTTTTTAATGAAACAAGGAATGATCATGAAAATCAAAGACTTGTATGCCATGCTTAAGTCTTCTGGTTACCTACATGCAAAATACTAGTCTGCTGGAATACAGGGCCACAAAGACAGAGATCTTTGTTTTATTTCCTAAAGAATTGTGTCTGGCACACCAGAGGTATTCTAGAAATATCTGTGGAAACTTCTTAAAAGAATTGTTAAATTTGAAGATGACTTCTGCATCAATCAAGTCTGGACACTACTCTCTAGAGGAAAGCAAACACATTGCCAGCCATTAAGTATATGAGGAAAGCTATCCCAATTCTTTTCTTGTCCAGGATAATATTTCCTGCTCTTTCTACTGACATAATGCCAGACCTCATCGTTCTGAATCTTTTGTGTGACAAATTTAATTCTGCTCTGTCTCTTTTAAAATGAGGTATCAACAAAGTGCCTGACCAGTAGAGAGGACAGGGCGATTGTTACCTTTTTTACCATCTATTATCTAGAAGTGCCTGACCATACAGAGGACAGGGTGACTGTTACCTTTTTTGCTCACCTATTACCTAAAAGTGTCTGACTATACAGAGGACAGGGCGACTGTTACCTTTTTTTCTTACCTATTACCTAGAAGTGCCTGACCATACAGAGGACAGGGCGACTATTACTTTTTTTTTTTAATCTATTACCTAGAAGTATGTGACCAATACAGAAGGAGATTATTACCAGTACAAAGGACAGGGAGAGTAGTACTAGTCATATCTGACAGGTACAGATGATAGGGAGGTTATTACCAATACAGAGGACCAGGAGATTATTACTGTTTTTCCATTACTCCTTAGCTATAGGCTACAATGTGGCACATCTAATATAATCACAGCATAAAATCAATTTAAAAATAAGTGATACTAAGGAAACTATCTGAAATGATTGACGGTATTGGTAGTGGTGGTATGATGGATAATTTTTGTTCACTTTTTGCTACTTTTCTGCATTTCCTATTTTTTGTAATAGAAAAAAAAAAACTTTTAAAAAGGCTGTAAAATTAATAGCCTTCTGAAGTCACTGAATTACATTATTGGCTTATCACTGAGCATATATGCTGTCAACCAAAAACCTCTTTTTTAAACAAATGTAAATCAGATTTACTTTTTATCACTTGAACATGAATATTTTGGGAACTTATTAATTATTCCTGATATACTATCCTGTTGGACTTGGCCCTCTTTTCTCAGTGTTTGTAACTTTTTGAATACTTATTCTGTGATCAAATATGCTAACTACCCTTCCCAGGTTCATTTTATTGATAAATTTGTTAAGTATGCTCTCTATATCCTCCTGTTCCACAACATTTTTGAGAAGATACATTCAATGATTCTTAAAAACTGTATTTAAGTTAATGGTTAAAGAGAAAAGGACAGAGTTCGAAGCAGAGTCCTCTGATCTGTCAACAATGATCTTTTCTTGGTTGATGTGAATCATGAATTAAAACGAAATGTTTGGGTAAAATTGATCACCCACTTATGAATATACCTAACAGTGGTTCAAGATGCGGGGATGGGACATGTCATGTCCATATTTATCAATGGCTTGAATCTTTTTTGACAATGGAGAATGAAATATTTTTTTTGAAATCAAGACATCTTATATCCACTTCCTATACTATTAAACCCATAAAGCTATCAAAATTAGAAGTGAGATTTCTCTAACTATTTTTTGTGATTTTCATTCTTTTTTTTTTTAAGTTATTTTATTTATGTAATCTCTACACCCAATGTGGGGCTTGAACTTATGACCCTTAGATCAAGGGTCAAGTGATCTTCTGAGTCAGCCAGGCACACGTCTTGATTTTTATTCTTAATTTTTTTTTTCTAGTTGGGGGTGTTGGGGAGAGGGGGAGAAAGAGGGAGAGAATCATAAGCAGGCTCCACATCCAGCACAGAGCCTGATGCGGGACTTGATCTCATGACCCTGAGATCATGACCTAAGCTGAAATCAAGAGTCAGACACTTAGGGTGCTTGGGTGGCTCAGCTGGTTAAGTGACTGCCTTCAGCTCAGGTCATGATCCCAGGGTCCTGGGATTGAGCCCCAGGTTGGGCTCCTTGCTCAGCAGGGAGCCTGCTTCTCCCTCTCTCTCTGCCTGCTACTCCACCTGCTTGTGTTCTCTCTCTCTCTCTCTGTCAAATAAATAAATAAATAAATAAAAAGAGTCAGACACTTAACTGACTGAACCACCCAGGCACCCCATTCTTAATTTTTAAAAGCACTTGTGTTGAATGTCCTATAATTAGCTCATCTGAGTTTATTACTAAGTTGTTTTTTACTCATATTTTTGGTCCTCATTTTTTTTCTGCTAACAGCCTGAGATAGATGTCTGATTTATCATAAAGGAGTGACTTAACTACAACTCTATTTATAAATCATTTTAATGTTAATGGTTAATCCTACCCTGTAATTTTCTCATTTGGGCAAAATTACAATACCATCTTCTTTTTTTTTTTTTTTTAAAGATTTTATTTATTTATTTGACAGACAGAGATTACAAGTAGGCAGAGAGGCAGGCAGAGAGAGAGAGGTGGAGGCAGGCTCCCTGCGGAGCAGAGAGCCCTATGCGGGGCTCGATCCCAGGACCCTGGGATTGTGACCTGAGCTGAAGGCAGAGGCTTAACCCACTGAGCCACCCAGGTGCCCCTACAATACCATCTTCTTTAAAAGTTATGATAAAAAGTGAATATATGGAAACTTACATTTAAAAATTATAATGTGAAATGATAACTAAATCTTGTAGAAGAAATTACATTTTAAGCTAGAGGGGCACCTGGGTCAACAGATGGTTAAATGTCTGCCTTCAGCTCAGGTCACAGTCTCCAGGTCCTGGGATAGAGCCCCACGTCAGGCCCCCAGCTCAGCAGGGAGTCTGCTTCTTACTCTCCCTCTGCCTCTACCCCTGCTTGTGCTCTCTCTGTGTCTCTCTCTAATAAATAAATAAAATGTCTAAATTTTTTTTAAGAAAATAAACAAGAACACATGCATGGTAGGATTTTCTTTCAAGAACCGTCACTAGGGGTGCCTGGCTGGCTCAGTTCATAGGGCCTGCGACCCCTGATCTCACCACTGTGAGATCAAGCCCAAGGCTGGGTATAGAGCTTACCTAAAAAACAAAAACAAAAAGAATCAACTCTCTTGATAAACTATCTTTCTGATAATTTACCTAAGTGTTTTTTTTTTAATTTATCTGTTTTTAATTATCACACTGGGGGAAAATAAAACCACAACCTTGTCTCGTGTTTCTTTTCTATGAAGAAAAAAATGTAAAGCTCTGACCATAAGGAATACTTATTTTTATGCCAGATTTTACCAACATGGCAAGTTCACTAAGGACTAAGTGTCCTGTAAGAGATTTCTTTAGGATATGAAGCTTGGTTACAGTGCTCTGGGGCTAGACATCAGTCAGAAGGCTTAACCATACAAATAAAAGTTTGGGATGCAGGAAGTCTGGAGTCATTTTCAAAGCAGAAATAGAGCTCATATGAACTAAGGATCTAGTGATCTCCATAGAGGAGACATTATTTCAACTATTGAAGTCTGTCCAGATTATTACATCCTTTACTAAAATGTGAAGGAACAAAAACAAAGTTGTTATGAAATGAGACAAGACTTTCAGTACCTTCTCCACGATACCCAGGTCTCCTTCAGCAATAACACGTCTGACTATGGTTCCTGCTTTTTGAGCGATTGAATAAGCTGAGGCTACAAGCCGCATCAACACGGTGTGACTGGAAGCCATGATCAGTCCTAAGGGGAAATTAAGAGAAATACCATTACTTTCAAAGCCAACTACTGGTTTCAGTCACTTGAATTCAATTCAACACATATTTACTGAGTACCTCACTGTACAGATCCTTTAATAAATACTTACTGAGAGACTTGGAAAAACTTCTATGTCAGCATTAGCTCTCTCAATAAATTTTATAGTATTCTTTCTTTCTGCAGATGGGACATTTTGAAGCATGGGGAAAACTGTCCCAGGCCCATGAGCATGTGACAAAGTTTTATGTCTGAGGGGTATGTGTGTATGTGTAAAGGCTGTGGAAAGTGCGTCAGGGGCTAAAAATACAAAATACAACATCTGCCATAAATGAGCTAATCTTTTGGTGGATTAGGAGTAAAATAATGTAACCTAAAATCTGTAACATAAAACTGGTAAGAGCCAAGAGAGGTACGAAGAGCATAAGGGATGTGGGTGTATGTACGGGGTAATGTAAAAAAAAAAGGAGGGGTTGCATGGGATTACAGTTAGTTTTTAAAAACCAATGAATATTCCATTAGACATTAAATAAAATTTAATCTACTGGCTATTTACTACCGTCCTCAGTTTCCAAATAAAGAGAACGTGCAACATACCTAATTGGGGTGAAGACTAATCATCTGGAAAAGTAATGAGTGTCAGAATAGCCCCTGGCCTATGGAAAATATGGGAAAAACAGCCTTCAGGACAAAGTGTATACTCCTCTTTGAAAATACAAATTCAAACCCTGCAATTTTAGTGACTGCTCTGAGGCTGGAATGTACCACCCAGACCCTCTTCAGGCTGAAGGACACTTCCCCAGCTGCTGAGAGTGCCACCAACAGATGGCTTTTAGCTGCCATCTTTCTTTGGGAATTTATGTGCTAAGTCACTGCACCTGCAACAGAGGGGATGGGTTTGAAGGCCAGTCCACACTCCAACCGCGCTGCCACCCCAACTCTACTGGGTCATCCTGGCTTCTGAATGCCCAGCTCCGTTGGCTGACTGAGGCCTTTGCTGAGACTGCATTGTGGCCCAACTCCCCACTCCCCAAGGCATCACTATCTTCTTCACACTTCCCATAAGTGATCCCAAGAACACTCTCTAACAAACCTCTCGGACTTTTTCTCAGAGTGCTCACAGGGAGCCAAATGATGACAAAAACTCTCAGCCCTCTAACTGAATCAGGTCAATATTATTTCAGTACAACAAAGGAACACAATACAGAACAGAAGAGACACTATGAGCCTCAATTCAGCAAGTCATTATTCTACTGCCAATTTCTGACTACACATTTGACCTGATGTGCCTTTTAAGCTCTTTACATCTTTTTTCTCTCATTAACATTCTAGTCACAACGATTATGAACATCAAGACAATAAACAAGGGACGGGTTTAAAACCCTTCAGAAGAACAGAATTGAATTTGATGTAAGGTAATGAATCCCTCTGTGGCCAGGAGCTGTCTAGAATTAATATGAAAATAAAGTGAATTCCTATGTATTTAAATTCTCTTTATCTTATTACATCATAATCAGGCTAGATTCATTTTATTGGCAGGCTGGGTGGAAAAACAGCTTATGAAAATTACTAACACTCAAATAGAAAATGGGAGAAATAATTCGGCAAACACTTTGTTGACCTCACCTCCACTTCCTTATTATCCATGACCAGCCACATATCTGATTTATTCTGCACTGGAAATGGGAGTCTTCAGGCAACTAATCACGTGCTACCCAAATGTCTTAACTACTGAGCATATTATAATATGTGCTGGCATGTTCATACAGTCCCCATGTTATATAAAATGCCATTGGTGAAAGGCAGATCATTTTCCCTCACTGTATGGTAGTGTTGTACCTTTTCACAGATATTACTTACATTTGAGCGAAGTAAGCAGTCATTCCAGCCTTGTCAGGCTTCATATATGACTAAACTACTTCCTTTTATGTTTGCCACATCCACAGTGTTTTCTTATAAAGAAAACTGTTTAGGCTTGTTTTACTACATTCCTCATAAAGTACATACTATATGAACTGCCATTCAAAGCTAACACCAGTCGCATAAGAATGTAATAGGTTTGATGTAAAGCAGAACAGTGATTTTTACAGAGATCCCGCAAATCACTTTTAGTTGGCAAATAAAATAATTCTACCAATTTCTCTGAAATATTTCTTCAGTCCAAACATAATTAGTAATGAAATATTATTATCCCCTGGTCTAATATTTTTCTTACCTATTTTTTAAACAAAAGAATACACTTTTGGACCTTAATAAAGAAAATGAATCTAATCATATTATCAAAACACATCTGGAAAAGAGGTTCCTGGTGCCCCCTCCCAGAACCCAAATGAGAATCACCTTGTTGATACTGATGGAGAACACACAACGCGGCGCTGCTGCTGGAAAGCTACGGGCAAGTTGTGAACTTCCTTAGAGCGGATCAGGTTATATACACGGTACTTCCTTCTCCACCAGTTTTACGCCTTCTGCGTCCTAAAGCCCCACCCTTTGTGAACACACCCTTTGTGAACACAGCTTTCCAATGGCTTACTCAAAAACAGGGTAAGATAGCTAAAGGCACAGGCACTGGAGTCAACCTCCAGTGTTCAAATCCTGGCTCTGGCATTTGTTAGCTGTGCGGTCTTGGGAAAGCCACTTAAATTCTCTGTGCCTCAATCTCTAAAATGGAGCTAATAATAGTATCTATAGGATAGAATTTAATTATTAAATGAGTAATGCAGGTAAAGCACTTGTAACGGTCCCTGGTACAAGGCAGCACTAAATCATACTGGCTAACCATTATTGTGATAATTGTCCTCATTACTGGCTATCCTGTGGAGACATCACAGTAGTGTTCAGAGCAAAAAAATTCCTATATCGGGGTGCCTGGGTGGCTCAGCGGGTTAAAGCCTCTGCCTTCAGCTCAGGTCATGATCTCAGGGTCCTGGGATCGAGTCCCGCATCAGGTTCTCTGCTCCGCGGGGAGTCTGCTTCCTCCTCTCTCTGCCTGCCTCTCTGCCTACTAGTGATCTCTGTCTGTCAAATAAATAAATAAAATATTTTTAAAAAAATTCCTATATCTTCTGCAACATCATTTTGACCCTGGGGATGTAATCTGATAACCAATACAACCCACAATCATGTTGCAGATTCTTTTTCATAACATTCAGGGCTTGAGGCTTGAAATACATATGTAAAAAGGTTGTATGCTACTTAAGGGTATCAACCTAACACCTCATCCTTTAAAAAATCTTTACAGTAGCCAACAGGGCTAGTTCTGAAGGATTAAAAACAGGAATCAAATGATCCATTTCCTTTGATAGCCTGGGAAAGGTATCTTGAATTGAATATAAAGGTGGTAAATAAACACATGAGGATTAGGATCTAAAATTGAATGATAGGGGCGCCTGGGGGGCTCAGCCAGTTAGCTATCTGTCTTGGGCTCAGTTCATGATCCCAGGATCCTGGGACTGAGCCCCACATTGGGCTCCCCGCTCAGCAGGGAGCCTGCCTCTCCCTCTTCCTCTCCCCTAACCCTGCTCATTCTCTGTCTCTCTTTCTCTGACTCTCTCTCAAATGAATAAGTAAAATCTTTGAGAAATGAATGACTGAGGGGCACCTGGGTGGCTCATTGGGTTGAGCCTCTGCCTTAGGCTCAGGTTGTAGTCTTGGGGTCCCAGGACAGAGCTAGGCATGCGGCTCTCTGCTCAGCAGGGAGCCTGCTTCCCCCTCTCTCTCTGCCTGCCTCTCTGCCTACTAGTGATCTCTCTCTCTCTGTCAAATAAATAAATAAAATATTTTTTTAAAAAAATGAATGACTGAGGTCCCAATCAAAATGCAAAGATTAGGGGCGCCTGGGTGGCTCAGTGGGTTGGAGCCTCTGCCTTTGGCTTGGGTCATGATCCCGGGGTCCTGGGATAAAGCCCCAAGTCGGGCTCTCTGCTCGGTGGGGAGCCTGCTTCCTCCTCTCTCTCTGCCTGCCTCTCTGCCTACTTGTGATCTCTCTCTGTCAAATAAATAAATAAAATCTTTTAAAAAATGCAAAGATAATATCTTTTGAAACCTGATCAAGTGATGATAAGGTTCAAGGTCATCTGGAAAAATAAAAATAAGAGCATAACAGAGCAAATTCTGGAAAAAGAACAGTGAGCCAAGATACTCTCCTTACCAGTTACCAAAATATGATACAAAACAGTAAGAATTAAACAGTTTAGTCCCGGGCAGAATGAAATCCCAGAAGTAGATCCAAACACACTGAAGGTGGTATTTCAAATCACAAGGCAAACTGTGCAAAAATGGTGGGAACACTTACTTATCTTTTAAAAAAAAATGTTGGAACTTTCTGTTGTATTCTTTGTATCAACATACATTCCAGATCAATGCATGATTTTAGAAGTAAAGAATAAAACCCTAAAAGCATGAGAATAAAACTGTGTTAAATATTTTGCAAATTTGGTAAAGGACTTTTAAACATGAGAAAAACTAAGAATCTATAAAAGAATATATTGACAAATTTGACTGAATAAAAATTAAGATATCTATGTAATCAAATTACCACAAGCAAAGCAGATGACTGACAAAATGAGAAAAAAAATTTGTATCATGTACTAGACATCTAGTTAATTTTGATTATGGAAAAGGCTTTTACATAATATGTTAAAGACTAATAATCTAGTAGAAAAATGAGCAAAGGACACAAATAGGCTATTCCTATTAAAAGAAAGACAATGGCCCTTAATTACATGAAATGCTCAACTTCATTAGTTATGAAAGAAATGCAAATTAAAACAGCAAAAGATGATTGTTCATGTGTAAGAATGGCATAGATGAAAACGCCCAGTGTTGGCTAGCCTGTGAGGGAACATCCTTCTGAGCACTGTGAGCAAGGATGCACAGTGGTTAAAACCTCTTAGGATGATTTTGAAAAGTTAACTGAAAGTAAAAGCTACATATCTTTTGAACTAGCAATTATATTTTCAGGGATACCTGAATAAATCAAGCAAGCCTACAAGTATGTAGGATAGATAGTACAAAGAAGGTGTGCTATCTGAATGAAATTTAATTTCAGACGAAAGGCAGTCTCTAATTTGAGTGCACTAACGAGCCCACTGTCTAGGTCTGCCTCGTTAATTCTACAGCAAACAGCCATGAAAAGACCCTGGAGCACGAAAATAAACGCACCGATCAATAATTAAATCGCTGGCACTCAAGAATCTAGGTCCGAAATTGGAATATCTGGAGAGGCAACCTGACTCGTGCAAACTTTTTTCTTTTTAAAACATAAATCCCTGTAATCTCCTTGTATCTGTGCAAAGGGGTGGAGTTAGGGGACCAATAAATGAGTCAGATCAGACCAAGGCCCTTGTCCTGACTCGCAAGGGAGAAACTTACAGTGACAAGCCTGGAACAAAGCTAGACGAAAAACACTTGAAGGGTAACAACAGCAACAACACAAAGCTACCAAGCAACAGGTCCCTCTAGTCCAGTACCTGGCCGCCTTCCTGTCAATAGGTCGTACGTTGGGGGATGTAGGACAAACCTATAGCAGCTACTGAGCATGCGGGAAATTCGGCGCAGGCGCAGAACAGCTACTCCCACGGCCGCCGGGAACTCCCGACCCGCCAGAAAACTCCATTTCTCCGTGTTTTCCCCTGAACTCTCCGGGCCGTGTGTCGCCTGTGGTCGTAGCGAGAGGTGTGCCCGCTTTTAAGATTCATTCTGGTTTCTGGCGTCTTCCGGTCCACTTTGTACACTCTTAAAATGTTCAGGGGTTTAGTAATACCGCACTGCGGTGATCGGCGACGGCCTACGCCCAAACTGCAGGTGTCTGTGGACTCGCTTCAGGTCCACGGTCCACCTCTGCCTCCGCTCCCAATAGCAAAACAGCTTTAGGCAGAATGGTCGCTAGTGCTTCCTTTTTCCTTTTTCTTTGTTTGTTTGTTTGTTTTACCACTTACGAGATTCTTAAAAGGGCCTGTGACCTTTTTGTATGCTTACCAGTAAGTCCAGGGAGACCCTATTTTCCTGACCAGATAATGATTTGTTACGTTCATTATCTGGGGGTTGGTTGGTTGGTGTTTGTTTTTTTGCTTTTTGCAGGACAGAAGAAAATCTACTTATGATTGTTATTGCACTAACAAAAGTAAACACAAACAGGCAAAAGCAAAAATTGCCTCTTTATTCACTTAGACTTTCACCATATACTTAAGGAGCACACTTTTTGTGCCTCCCTGTGTTTATGTTTGTGTGTGGAGGTAGGCGATGAAAACAGCAGAGGGAACGGCAACGCTTTTTTTTTTTTTTTTTCAATATTAAAAAGGGCACGGTGATTATAATATCACAAATCACATAAGATGGCAGAGTTAATAGCAAACGTATCAGTTACAACAATAAATGTAAATTGCTTAAAACCATCCATTCAAAGACAGAAATTCTCCAGTTGATTAGGAAACAAAACCCACTATATTATTAGAGTAGAATTCAGAGCAAGAAAAACTATCGAAGAGAATAGTCATTTTGTATTGTTAAAGGTAGTATCCTTTATATATATTCTCTCTATATATAGTATAAAGATACTACTTTGCTTTTAAGTTAGATAAGTAGCCCATGATCACACTCTCGTTGCTTAAACGAAATGAAAAATGCAAACGATACTCTCTACCAGGCCCTTCCTTAGAGCATGTGTCCTAGGACTGGAATTTCGTTTTATCTCTCCTGATACTGTGGAGCCATAATGCACCATTTAGTTTTCTGGCTTAGACACTTAGCCACATTCCAGCTGCAGAATACTTTACTTTACTGGACTCTTCAGGGAATTCCCCTTAGTTTTTATAAAAGCAATTACCTTGCATTAGAAGAAAAAAAAAAAAACCCATTGGTTTGAGAAGAGAGTAGTCAGTGAACCATTTTTAATTCTGCATGCTCCTCTATAACTCCCATACTTTTTTTTTTTTTTAAAGATTTCATCCATTTATTTGACAGAGAGAGAGATCACAAGTAGGCAGAGAGTCAGGCAGAGAGAGAGGGGGAAGCAGGCTCCCCGCTCAGCAGGGATGCTGAGGCAGATGCGGGGCTCGGCTCCATCCCAGGACCCTGAGACCATGACCTGAGCCGAAGGCAGCGGCTTAATCCACTGAGCCACCCAGGCGCCCCTCCCACACTTTTTTTTTTTTAAAGATTTTATTTATTTATTTGACAGAGAGAGAGAGAGAGATCACAAGTAGGCAGAGAAGCAGGCAGAGAGAGAGGGGGAAGCAGGCTCCCCGCTGAGCAGAGAGCCCGATGTGGGGCTCGATCCCAGGACCCTGAGATCACGACCTGAGCCGAAGGCAGAGGCTTAACCCACTGAGCCACCCAGGTGCCCCCCTCCCACACTTTTATAGCTAGAAACAAACAATTAATTTCCACTAAGCGAAAACTCATCAGAGAGCGATATCAACAAATGGCTACCATAACGTGGGATTCTTGGGAAGGCTTTTACCTATACAATAGCATTTGATTTTCATAATAACTCTGAGACTTAAGACAGACCATTTATTGCAGTAAAAATATATATAATAGGGGCGCCTGGGTGGCTCATTGGGTTAAAGCCTCTGCCTTCGGCTCAGGTCATGATCTCAGGGTCCTGGGATCAAGCCCCACATTGGGCTCTCTACTCCACAAGGAGTCAACTTCCTCCTCTCTCTATGCCTGCCTCTCTGCATACTTGTGATCTCTGTCAGTCAAATAAATAAAATATTTTAAAAATGTATATATATATATATATATATATATATATATATAAAACAACATTTACCATTTTAAGCATACATTCGTTTTTATCATTAAGTAATTAAGTAATTACATAACAAGTACAACTGGCTTGAATAAGACTAAGGATAGACATAACTGACCATAAGATCAACAGGAGAAAATTGTGCAGGTGCATAGAGAGTAGCCTTCTGCGCTGAGGGCTGAGTGTACCCTCAGGACAGAATTTATAGGGAGACAGAGAGCACAGTTGAATTCAGCAATGTGTTATGTAGGGGTTGGTTAGAAGAGCTCCTCTATGCACTCCTTATTGTGCTCCTTGAGACTAAAGTTCACAGGATACATTCCCAGATGCAGAAGTTCAGGTCCAAAGTGAAATACCTTTGAAATGGTGACAGATATTGCCAAACTGCCATTCAGAAAGGCAGTACAAATTATACATTACTACCAACACTGTGAGAGAGGCCACTTTCATACACGCTCCCAGTCCTGTTACCAAACCTCTTGATTTTTGCTTTCATCTGTTGGATGGAAATGATATCTTGTTTTAACTGCCTGTCCTTGATGACTCCTAAAGTTGAGTATCTTTGTTTGAGTATATTTGAGTATGTATATTGGCTTTTTCCATTTTTCTATGAATTGCCTATTCTTATCCTATGAGTTTTTTTCCATTAGGTTGTTTATATTTCTTTTCCTGATTTGTAGCAACTCCTTATACATTTTGGATATGAATTTTTTTAATAGGCTCCATGCCCAGGGTGGAGCCCATCACAGGGCTTGAACTCATGACCTTGGATCAAAACTGGGCTGAGATCAAGAGTTGAACACTTAACCAGTTGAACCACCCAGACACCCCTGGATATTAATTTTTAAAATGTGTTTGCAAATGTTCTCTCCCACATCATAGTGTAGGAGAGGCAATATATTATGGTGATCATCCGTACGGGTACTGGAAGCCAACTGCCTGGGTTTGAATCCCAGCCCTGCCACTTCTTAGTTGTGTGACCTTGGGTAAGTTACTTATCACTATGTGTCTCAGTTTCCTTATCTGTAAAATGGCAATAACTATAACACCTCCCTCACCACAGAGGGTTGTTTTGGCAGTTATGTCTTCACTTCATGAGGTTTAATGATTAAATGAGCTAAGGAGCTGGGAAGAAGCTGACACTGAATGCTTACTATTTGCCACTTGCCTTCTTACTTTTTGGTATGTTTTTCCATATAAAATTTTCTTTTTATTTTTGTGAAAATTGGTCCATTTTTTAATTTATGCAAGCCAAGTCTTCTAGATGTTGTGTCTTATGAATAGGAGGAGAGAGGTACACTTTACAATGAAAAGGTAACAATTGTGAACTGCAATGACCTGGCTAACCAAATACAGATTTCGCCCTGCTCGCTGAAAGTAGTGTTCTTATGAAACCTTTCATAAGCCTAAATGGAATAAAGCAAAGAAGCAATTACCATTAATTTAAATGGAAAATTTTTTAGCACTCCCAGATGCCCCAAAATAACCTTTCTTAAGCTTTCCTGATTCCTTAGGACACATCTTGCTGACAAATGCCCAAAATAAATCAAGATAGAGCACAGATGCTCGCAGACACAGTTCAAAGGGCTAGCAGCTGATGCTGAGATTCTGAGAGTAATTCCCAGGACAGGAGCTTGGTGGGGCCACTCTGGTGACTTGGGGTGCCTGCTGCCTCTATGTAGTCTTGTTGCAAGACAAATGCTTAATGCTATTTTCACTTTTTATGTAAAAGTGGTCTAACCCAAACTTCCAAAAAGTGGGATATAAGGCGGGTAGATAGAAGTCAGAAACCAGATCTCAAGTCTCACACCTGTATACAATTCTGTAGGAGTGGGACGTAAGTGGACAAACGGAGTGCGATATAGGGAATCTGAAAATTACAAATTAGATTGGTTTACAATATTGGAACTGAACTTTGCACTCAGCTAAAGAGATGCTACCCCTTGAGGTAGCCATTATTCCGTGTGGTTGTTGAGCGAGTGGCAAATTACTAATCCAAATCAAGATGCTACGTGTGTAAAATGCACACTGAAACAAAGAATGTAATATTTTTTATAATTTTATATTAATTACAGGTTGAAGTGATAATATCTTAGTTATACTAAAAATTCTTAAATATTTGCTATATATTATATATACTGGATGTACTGAATACATTAAAAAAACAAAGTTAGGGCTCTGTGATTGAAATCTGAGCCCGGTCCGGCCCGCCACACCTTGCCCCGCCCCTCAGAGTCAGCCCGGCCCCGCCCCGGTTGCTTCCAAAACCGGGGATGGCTGCCTTCTTGCGGTCTCTGGGAAGGGCCTGCTTCCCGCCCCTTCCGTGCGCCGCGCGCGTGCGCACTCGGCAGAACTCGTGGAGGTGCTCTGGGGTCCCGGTTTTCCTTATCCCCGGCGGGAACCTCCCGCGGAGGACCTGGCGCTCACCGGGAGGCCGGGGTTGGCTCGCCATGCGTTGGGGGCTGCACCGGCGCGGGCTGGGAGCCGCGGCTCTGGCCGCGGCCCGGAATTTATGGGTGCCGCCCCGCCTTCGTTGTCACCCGGGGTGGCGAGGAACGACGGGGAGGCTTTTGGTGCGGTCAGTCACCGGGGCCAGTAACCAGCTGCAGAGCTCGAATAATGGCAGATACCGGGACACGGTGCTGCTGCCGCAGACCAGCTTCCCCATGAAGCTGCTGGGCCGCCAGCAGCCCGACACGGAGCTGGAGATCCAGCAGGTGGGCAGGGAGGCCCGACCTGGCCGGGGGGCGGTGGGAAGACGGGCCCTCGCCGGCCGCC